CAACTCCAAAATTTTATAAGCTGCAACTAGTTGCAACTAGGTGATGCTTTATTTGTCACCATATTGCAACAGTTGCCACACCATCTTTATTCTGCACTGTCTCTAAGTACTATCCGACATGGTCCGAAAAGATCACATAATTTTGCACTGTCCCTAAGCATTGTTCGTAAACTTCCTGTATTTAGGAACGGGATAGTAATAAATCACGTGGTCTTTGACACAAAAATGTGAAAAACAGATGTCAAAATCTAGCTTGAAGTACTAATAAAAAAGCAATTTTACATATAATCTTATTCTTAACTCTAATCCTAACTCTAATTCAAATGATAAAATAATCTTTAACGTCAATTTTCTGTGATCACGTGAGCGTAGATTTATGAAGGCCACGTGATCATACATTGATCCTAATATAATCTCACGCCCGAAACATTCCGCATTATTAAAGGCTAGGGTTAGAGTTGGAGTAAGGTTATATATGTAAAATTGTCTTCCCGTCATTTTTTATTAGTGGGATCGGAAACTCCACGTGAAGGGAAAATCGATTGTGGGTGAGGGTAAAACCAGATATATTCCGACCCCGAAATCACATGACGAACCTGTCCACATAGACTTTCCAATAAGATTTGTTGTAGCTAAACATTACATCGAGCTCAGGTCACATGCCAGTTTTTTTGGTGGTTACTGGTAATTTTTCGTGTATGAGAATTCTCGTAGCAATTTGATCGTTAGACTTGCACATAATGAATTCTGATAGTGGTCAGTTATTCCACCTCACGAAACTACGATCATTAAAGCTTCTCTTGCAGTATTCTAATTTCTTCTACTTGTAGAATTCTCAAAGGCTCAACTCTTATCCAGCGTTTTTCAGCTGCTAAAATCTAAACGAAAAACCTCTACTTCACTTGACTCGGACAACACATTGGACGAACTACTCGAGGTTGCTCATTTATTTTTCTCGTCTCTCTTAGTATTATTGCTTAATTTTAATTAATGTTCATTTTAAGAAATCTTTCCATTAAAGTTACCTCTTGGCCTATCAAGACCTTTGACGTGCGAAGATGTAAAGCTCGAGGTAGAAGAACGCTATCTAAAACCACTTACAACCTTTCCTACCTCTTGGCTTTCAAAATGTCAACAGTAAGTGAGAACGTAGCTAGAGCTAGACTTCTCAAAAATGCCTTTGCCCCTGTTGTATACTCTAACTATAACGTTGTAGATATTGGGGACGCGAACCCAATTATATGTCTTTAGTTTCCTTGGGTCCGTCGAAGCCACGAATTACAATAGAAGTAAGACGGGATGGTATAGACGGGGAATTGGTATCATATAAAGAGGTACCGTTTCTTATTTTTCTTTTTTTCGTGCAGAATTTATAGTATCATGGTTGATGTGCATATACGTGTAAATTTAATTATAGGTTGCTGTACTAGATGAGACGTTAACGGCCAAGAATTCTACTTCGTTATTACGTGAACCTGGTGCACCCAAAGATTTTGTTAAAGGAGGATCTAATTATATTCCTTTTGCACCTGGTAATTCTTACGTTTTTCTCTAAAAATAATATTCTTTTGAGATACTTATATATACATTTCATATCTTAGGGGGGCTGGAATCTGAAGTGCTAAAAAATGAAATCAATGAAGTCGCAAACGATTTAGAGGAATTGTTGAAATTTGATGAAGGTGCGTCAGCGCAAATTTATTTACTATTATTTAAATAGCAAAATCCAATTCTTTAATTCTTTTCATTAATTATTGCAAAAAAGATGAAATATTGACAGTACCTCCAGGATTTGAACATGGACTTATTTTTGAAGGTAAATAAGTAAAAACAATAGAATCTTTAATTCTGTTGGTCCTTTGTGTATTTTTTATCTCCTTGAATTACTATTCTTTAGACGACGAGACATTGAATAACGACGCAGTTGTAAAAAATCCTGTAACTGGATTAAGTATTACAGATTTGCTTGCTCATGATGAAGAAGATTTCAAGCTCTTAGAACAATTCAAAAAAGAAAAGATAACACAATCAAAAATAATGGAAGAACAGGTACTTGCGTTTTTTATTTGACTCTTAATATGATTTTTTTCTGTTTTGCATGAAGACATACATTAAATATAAATACATTAATAATAATAGGAAAAAGATATAGAGGAAGTTGGTGTAACAAAACAAGAAAATTTGTTATCACCTTCGATCGCTACGGTAGAACCGATGGATCTTTTACTTCCTGCACAGGTTTTAAAATATTATTTATTTCTGTATATCCATCTTTTGTTCTTATTAATTTAATAATGATTACAATTATACACTCGATAGCCGCCCTCTATTGAAAGCATCAGCTTAATTAAAAAAAGTGGTGCAAACATTGCAGCTAAAAAACGCGAGTGGGCTCATGTCGTCGATGTCGACATCGGACTGCCTAATTTCAAAGAATTGGTTCCGGAAATGGCAATCGAGGTAATTTTTTAATATTACATTAAGAATATCTTTTTTGAGGGCTTAATTAATTTTAAAATATTGAATTTTCTATATTGCATACATACAGTATAATTTTGAGCTAGACCATTTTCAAAAACAAGCTGTATATCATTTGGAATGCGGCGATTCAGTATTCGTAGCTGCTCACACATCCGCAGGCAAAACTCTCGTTGCTGAATATGCTATCGCATTAGCCGCTAAGCATATGACAAAGTTTGTATTTGTGTTCTCATATATTCCTCTATTTATAATAATGCCTCTTAATTATTTCTCCTTCATTCATCCTACTTGATATAAAGGGCAATCTACACTTCCCCAATTAAAGCGCTCTCCAATCAAAAATACCGCGATTTTAAAGGCACTTTCGGTGACGATGTCGGAATTTTGACGGGGGATATCCAGATTCGACCGGAAGCCTCTTGTCTTATAATGACCACCGAAATTTTGCGGTCGATGTTATACAAGGGTGCTGATTTGATTCGGGATGTGGAATTTGTTGTATTCGATGAAGTTCATTATGTTAATGATTCCGAGGTAAGAACACTCGAGAAAAAAGTATTTTGATAATAATTCGATTTTGTTACGAATATTCACTTTAATACGAATAGCGAGGAGTTGTATGGGAAGAAGTGATAATTATGCTTCCCGCTCATGTAACTATTATACTTTTATCGGCGACCGTCCCTAATACTAAAGAATTTGCCGATTGGGTCGGGTACGTGATTGAAAAACACTAATTCTCTATTCTTGCCAAATCTGTCTATATAAAACTCAAAATATTATTTATTTTTCGTATAGTCGAACGAAAAAGAAAGACATTTACGTAATAAGCACAACAAAAAGACCTGTCCCTCTCGAACATTACCTATACGCAAATAAAGAAATCTATAAAATTGTCAATGCTGATAAAAAATTTCTCAGTGTAGGGTAATTTCGAAAAAAAATAAAGATTATTCATGATGATCTTATCGTTTATATAATAATGATTGCTTTATTATAAATAGATGGAAGCAAGCAAACGATGCATTGTCGAAAAAGGACAAAGAGGTTAAACCGGCTAATGCTCGTGGTGGAGGACGGGGACGTGGAGGTCGTGGTACTGTCGCGCATCGAGGAGGCGGAAATTTTAAACCTATGGTGCAACAGGTATTTATATTATTTGAGAGTAATAATGTAATATGTAAATTTAAAAACAAATTTACTATTCATATAATAATAAAAATAGGACAAACAATTATGGAGCAATATTATCAGTTTCCTCAATAAAAAAAAGTTACTACCCGTTATCATCTTTACGTTCTCAAAGAAGAAATGTGATGAATATGCTCAAAGACTGACAAATATAGACATGTGCGCTGGAAAGGATAAAAGTAAAATCCATGTATTTATCGAGAGAAGTTTAAAGCGGCTAAAAGGTTTGGTTTCTTTGGGAATTTTTAATATATAAAAGCTTCAATTTAATTTATTCATTATATTGATGTAGACACGGATAAACTTTTACCTCAAGTGCGTAGAACTTGTGACTTACTAAACAGAGGTATTGCGGTTCATCACGGTGGATTGCTTCCAATCCTTAAAGAGGCAAGCATCAAAATAACACTATTTATGTATATATCGCTTTAGCATCATTGATTACATTTGTAATTCATTATTCTATTGGCCTTCCTACTTTTTGATTTTTGCATAAAATGAGCTGTGATCCTTTCTTGTATGCTAACAAAGCAAGGCTAATAAAATATAGAAGAATCAATAAGAAAGAATAATAAAAACATTGAATTTGTCAACTATTTTCAGATGGTGGAAATATTGTTCAGTCAAGGACTAGTCAAAGTCCTATTTGCTACTGAAACTTTTGCCATGGTATTTATTATTTCATTTAATATGTTATTCATTTTAACATTTAATTCTCTATTAACAGTCTACTTGACATAATGGTATATTTAAATAAAGGGTGTTAACATGCCAGCACGTACGGTTGTATTTTCAGGTATTCGAAAACACGATGGAAAATCTTTCAGAGACTTGTTACCTGGTGAATATACCCAGATGTCCGGTAGGGCCGGTCGTCGAGGGTTAGATCCTACTGGAATGGTGATAATTGCTTGTTCTGGCGATCAAGTACCGAATGTACGTATATAGATTACTCTTATAACTATATGATACTCTTATCTTAAATATTATACTTATATTATTATTAGAAATTACGCGTCAAATAATAAAATTATCTGTTATTTTCTAAGTCTCTAACTTTAGATAAAATGATTTGTGGTACACCAACAAAATTGGAATCGCAATTTCGTCTGACATACAACATGATACTGAATTTGATGCGTGTCGCGGCCTTAAGAGTTGAGGAAATGATTAAACGAAGTTTCTCCGAGCATTCTAGTCAAGAAATGCTTCCGGAATATCAAAAAATGTTTGATGAGGTAAAATTTATATTAATAATATATATCTATATAAATTGAATTGAAATTGCAATTATTGTCGATAATTTGTTCCCATAGCACGAAAAATCACTGAACGCATTTAAAAAATTGGATTGCACTATCTGCAATCCCGACATAAATCAATACTACAACGTATCAACGCGGATTTGTGATCTGAACCGTGAATTAATGCAGAAAATTGCTTCGATGCCAACTGGAATCAGTCCGGGCAGAGTCGTTATTATTAACAATAGTGTAAGTATATGAATCACCAATTCAAATAAGAATTAGTTTATCTTCATTAATAATAATTATTTTAAAATAGTTTTATCGAAATGTAGCGGCTGTTGTTCTAAAAGCACAATCATCAATATTTTCTGCGAAGTTTACTGCCGCAAACACTACTATCAACGATAAAAGATTTATGGTGTTAATATTGCTGGATAGTCGATCAACATCTGCAATTGAGGGTTGATAGTCTAATTGCTAAAGTTATATCGGTTTTTAAATTCCTTATTTATATATTTTACAATGTTTAATTGCCGATATAATCAATACAGACGGTGCACCACCACCACTTCCGGTAACACGTGTCGCGAATCCTGATCAAAGTTCATTAACTTGCAAAATAACCGATATTGCGTCTAGTGATATTGCTGTGGTCACCAAAACAACAATAAAGGTATATATTTTTATTCAAATTTCTCATTATTTCGTTCTTCTCATAATACTTATTTTTCGTTTTGCAGATTGTATCAGAAAACATATTGGAAAATCAAGACAAGCTAGAAATCGCCAAAGCTCTCCAACAATTAACGCAGTATGCAACTGAGTCGCAACATGGTAAATCAAAACACATTCTTTCTGCAAGTAATTAATCAACAAATACTAATAAGTTAAGTTAATGTTTTCGAAAGTCGGAATATTAGAGAATGACTGGTCCAAGATAAAAGAACTTGCATTCCAACTAAGTTTGAAGCAAAAAAAAGAACTCGTAAACAGTCTGGATAAATATCAATGCACCAACTGTCCCGATTTAAATGAGCATGTAAGGGATATCTCAATGTATTTTATTAATAATATTAATTTCTGATTTTTGTTGGTTATTAATATTTCCTTGGTCGTTTAAAGTATGGCATGGTTCACAGAGAGCGTATTCTAAGGGTCAATGTGGAAGAACTACGTCGCACAATTTCCGATCAGAATCTCGAGTTACTGCCTGATTATGTGCAAAGAATTGCGGTCTTGCGGGAGCTTGATTATATTAGTCAAAATGACACTGTACAATTGAAAGGACGGGTTGCTTGTGAAGTATGGAAATCTTCTTATTTTTTTTTTCGAGTTCGCAGTATTCATTCAGCAAACTAACTAAAGAAATTTACTTTTGACGATTTTGCTTTTTGCCTATAGATAAATTCAGCTGACGAGTTAATATTGACAGAACTGATTCTGGAAAATAAATTGAGTGAGTTTGAGCCAGCGGAGATTGTGGCATTGCTCTCGTGTTTTGTCTTTCAAGAAAAACAAGAAAAACATGAAATAGCATCGAAATTGACTCCTCCGAGTCTCGAAGAGGTAAGAACAAGTATTTTTTTATCATTGTAATTTTTAATCAAAATATTAATATAGTTTTGGTTTATAAGGGCAGAGAAATCATATTTGATATTGCAAAAAGAGTGGCAGAAGTCCAGCATAAACATGGACTTCCCATCTCACCTGATGATTATCTCCGTTCGTTCAACTTTGGTCTTGTGGAAGTAGTATATGAGTGGGCGTGCGAAAAGGTAAGTTTTCCGGAGTATAATGAAACCGCCTATTATTAACCACTAAGCACTTGACTTTATTATTATAGTCCTTTTTAGAAGTTAAAGAATTAACAGACGTTCTAGAAGGTTCCATCGTCCGCTGCATTACACGACTTGACGAAACATGTCGCGAGGTCAGAAATGCCGCAAGAATAATTGGCAATCACTCTCTCTACAAGAAAATGGAAGATGCTCAAATGCTAATTAAGCGTGATATTGTGTTTGCTGCTAGCTTGGTATGTAGGAATTTTATGTGGTTTTTTCATATATTATATAGAATTAACTAACTCGTTTTTCCATTTTTTTTTTTGGTAGTATTTTTAAGAGAATCAAGTCTCATAATGATGCACGGATGGATGGATTTATATATAGTTAATTATTTATTTGTAAATAGCGATTTTTTACAGTTTGTAATAAAGTTATGCATTCTCTAATAAAATCCGTGAATATAGTAATTATTAGACTATTTTTTATGAATAAATACATATCGAATATAGCGGGGAAAAATTATGAAGGATTATAATTAATATGACTATTTTCTATATAAATTGTGTTATTTATTATATTTACAAAAGGGAATATTTTACAACCACTGCATCCAAGTAACGTCCATATACGCCAAATTTTGCGGATTGCTCGCATTTGCTATTATTTCAAGTAAAGGTTGAAACACCGGCATTCTCTATTAACACGCCAAATAATAATTTAATTTGTTAGAATAATAATAATAGTAATAATATCATTTTTGTCGAAATTTTGACTTTACCTTATCACGCTCTTCTTTGCACGCCAGAGTTTCGGCTCTCTTTACTATACTTTCGACATTTTGAGCAACTTTCTGTCTTAATTGTGGTTCAGTCACAGGTTTCTTGCTCACGTAATGCCAAGTTAAAAGTTCGTCTCTTACCAGCACACTCAAATGCTGCTCTAAATCAAACTAAAAACAAAGTTATCAAATCAATTAGTTAGGTAAACTAAGAAAAAGCATAATAACCTAAAATACAATATGACGATAAAATTAACAACATACCTCTGGTTCAGTAAGACATTGCGCGATAGACATAAGAGACCCAATAAAGACACCTTCGATTCCAATAGGCGTCATAAAGTGCTGTATACCACGCGTAAATCTGAATGGCACCGATTCTCCATTCAAAAAGAATGGAGCATTGGATGAAAACGCTACAAAAAAATAACCAAAGATTAATTGTTATTGTTTAAAAAAATTAAAAATAGGATTCGCAGAAAATAATTAAAACAACAATACTTGGAAGAAGCTCCGTGGCCCAAACATTTCCTGTATTTTTCGATATTATCATCTTGTACGGATGTCGTTGGCCAATGCACAAGATATATGACATGAATGCGATTCCTGCCATTTGAGTGGTAAAGTGTTTTCGGAACGTCCATAAATCAATGTGTGATTTCATTGATTTCGACATGTACTATTTATTGATTCGTATAAGAAAAAGTTAAAATAAGTTCTTGAATAATGCAAAAATTTTCATTTTTTGAGCAAACCTTTGTTATGACATCATTTGGTATCATTTTCGCTGCAATCTCGTCTGCAATCTCAACTCTTAGATTTGTTAAGCCATTTCGCTAAAATATACAATATACAATATACGAATATTTAATTAACACTTCATTAAAATTTGATAATCACAATGATAATAACGTCAAGCTTACCCCTCTTATAGAACCTAGATTCGATCGCATCTTGTTTGTATAATATATCACAGGATCATCTTTACTCATACCAGTGGTGTCGCAGTGATCTTCGAAAATATCTTGTAGTGAAGAATAGGAAGGATCATCTTGTACGAGTCTTATTTGAGGAGCAAGTGGGACAATTATTGGAAGATGGAAGTATAAATTGCGTTTTCGAGTTTCTATTCGACGTTCCAGCACACTAAAGTTTAGTGATTGGATAGGTTATTAAAATGTATAAATTATCATTTTTATTATCGAACTACTACGACTACTAATAATAATACCTGTTTAGCATTCTAAAGAATTGCATTATACGCTCTTCGCGTCTACTATGTCGTGCAGCTGGTTGTTGGACAGCAAAGGAATGAAGACTTCCATCGTGTCCACGAATTGTTAACCGCCGATAACAGAACCCGTGAGATCGAATAATATCAATTTCGGGCAAGAATCGATCTATACGAATGAATTCTGTAGTTTGACAATCTCTATGCTGAAATAATAAAATCATACTTAGCATGCGCGAAAATTATAAGCATTATAAAATAAAGGAAAAAGAATATAATAATATTTACTAATAAATATTGTCCAGGAATTTCAATTTCGCAGAATTTCTGATGTTGGAATTCGACGAGATATGCGCTAAAATGCTCTAAATGTTGTTTTCGTGGTTTGCTGTCCAATAAAATTTCGAAACGATCCCTCCATTTTCTTAGTTTTTCCACATATTGATATAAGTTTGGTTTCGACTGTATAAAGTCTTCCTCAAAAGCCGCCTAAATTATAGTTACTTGGATAAATATAATTATTGAAATCTGAATCGATACAATGAATAGTAAAGAACTAACTTTAATTGGACCCTGATAAAGATTTTCGGCAAATCGTCGAATATTTGCCTCTGTTGGTCGATTTAATAGACCATCATCATGCGGACTATTTAAGCGAGCGTTTATTTGCTAAAGAAAATTATGAAAAACAGCATCGGTAAGATTTAATATATAAGTTATAGTCTGAAAAACTCAAACATAAATAATTAACCTGAACTCCGTCGTTTAATAAAGCAACAATCAATCTGTAAATATCTTCATCGGATGTTGGTTTCAGACGAATTTGAATTTGATCTACCATAGTTTCAATTGATAATGATAGCAGAGGGAAGGTTGTTTTAAGAATTGACATGATATCGTCAACGTGTTCCCATGGTTGTTTTTGAAGATGTTGTGTAACTATAGGTGGTGTATTTTGATTAGACATGTTACTGTTATTTATCCCTAAAGGTGTTATTGGTGATCTATTTGAATCGGCGCCATTTGGAGTTGAAGGTGACATATGATTTGTTATATTGCTGGGAGGTGTTCCTTGCAAGTTCGGAGACATTGCATTAGGTAGTCCATTCAATGCTTGGATATTTTGCATAGTAAGATTATTTGAGGGTGATCCACCGAGATTTGCCGCGTTTATGCCGTTACTAGGTTGAATAGCAGGACTTTGGGGTTGTTGTGGTGTCATAGGACTTTGTTGGCTCATACCAACATATGATGGCCTTTGACCAGGGCTCAATTGATTTTGAGTAGGTTGAGCAGGACTTCCTTGTCCTTGATTAGGAGTTGCAAGTCGTTGTGCAGCTCCATTCGCGATTATACCATTAGCCATCTGAGGAGTTTGTGGCAATAAATATCCTTCATTTGGGGCTGTTGGCGTACTTGGTGTTGCTGTCGAAGGTGTAACTGGTGTTCCTGGAACAGATAATGATGCTTGTTGAGCGGCACGTGCTTGTGCAGCAGCTATTGCTTGTTTCTTGATGAACATATAATCTTCCCTGGCAGTCCGAAGTTGGAAATATAATGCCTATAAATATCATTCGATTATTAATTAGGATTAAGTATAAAAGCATTGCTTAATTGAAAATTTATTACCTGAGGATGCTGCTTTGCGATCTTTGTCAATATATTTCGTGCATATCTTGCTTCTTTATGCACTAATCCTACTATTAGCTGTGGAATGAAAGTTACCCAATACCATGTAGGAACTTCGCCTTTAGTCATATAACTCTCGAATACTCTGGAAATATGTCCTTCGGGGGTATCATCTAAAGATAGAAGCCATAAAATTCGTACAAGCAATTTTCGACTTTTATGATTATTATAGAGACCAGCAGCTTGTAAATAACAACTTAATGCATTAGCTGCCAATAATATATTAGAAGAGTCATCTTTAAACTTGCGATCATAATAACGTCCCCACTCTGCCCAGGCTTTGGGAAGTCTCATTTCCACTTGTACAGCCATAGCGAAACTCGCGTCTGCATCGTGATCTCGACCCATTTTAGCCATAACCATTCCTTTGAGCGTATGAAATTCTGCTTTTTGTTGTGGTCCAAAGTAATTAAGATTGGTATTGTTGATCACATCTAAGGCATTTGTCAATTCGCCAGAATTCTGATAATGGCATTTTGCTTGCTCTCTCAATTTTAAGAATGCTTCTTGGATTTCAATATTTGGCAACGAATATATATGTTGTAAAAATGTCACACATACTTCGGAAAGATGATGTTTTCGCGCGACGTGAGCAAATCGATTTATAATCCATGCTGTTTCATGATGCCCACGAAAAGCAAAGTTTATATTGGAAATAGCGTTTCCAGGAGGAAGCCTTTGGAAAGGCTGAAAAGCGTTATTGATCATTCGGAAAATATGTCTTCGCCATGCAACAAGGTCACTCCATATATTGATGTCATCCCATGAATTAGGAAGACGCTCACGCCAGCTTTGCAAGACACTTTTTAGCTCTTGAGATTTGGAATCTGCACTCGGAGTACCTTCCAGATTATTTAAACCTGTGCACATTTTGGTCGCTTCTTCCAATTCAACAAATTGTTGGAAAATTTGTAAAATTGGAATATGACATTGACTCACAATTTCCGGGAGTGAATGCCACCTTCGCAAAGACAGTTGTAGTGATTCTTCGGCAATTTTCTTAAATTCACTGAAATCGTTAGTTTGTTGTGCTTTGACTAGCGACATAAAAGCTTCGAATACTTTATTTCTTGGGGTCGGTTTATCAGATAATGAATTGATGGCTTGATCGAGAAAATCACGTTCTTCGGTCCAATCGGAGAGACGCCATGCACATTCAAGCAGAAGTTCTGTGTTTCCCTCATTCTTGGCGAAATCAGTAAGAACCTCCCATTGTTGCAATTTTTGTGAGCAATCAAGCCAATGATCTTCCCACAATAAATATTCTGGTTCTGTAAATGACATGACAGCAGAGCGACCTTTAAGTTGTGCATTTTCATAAACAAGTTGAGCATCTACCCACATGCCACATTGTTCATGGGAAAGAGCGGTATTTGTTTCTAGTCTTATAGAACGTCGACGCCATAAACCTGCGGCCATATCGTCTTCTGATAAACTTGAATAAAGATCAGCCAGTGCATCCAATGTTTTTTCTTTAAATTCATCATCGTCTTTTTGTGTATTAAGTGTATATTGTTGAAGTATTTCAAGTGCTATGTGCCACGCGCCATGAGTCTTTCCCAAGTACATGATCAGATAAGGCGGCAATTTGATTTGATGAGAGCAACGTGCAATCCCTTCCAAGATTGCCTGGATACAATTGGGTCTAAATTCAGCTTGCAAATTATGATATTCTTTAGAAAGAAATGCGATAAAATTTTTATGTAGTCTCTGCCTATCCTTTTGGGATATTGATGACCAACACACAGGAAACAGATCAACCCAAAATCGATAAGCAACTTGATCACTCAAATGATGAATTTGTTTCAACGGAATTAATAAATCTGCCACGGTTGATTTCGAATTTTCTGTCAGGAATTGACGATGTTTTTGTAGACAATCTTCGAGTTCAGTAGTCACAATAAACGAGTCTGAGGACGAGTCATCTACGCAATTGTTAAACAAGTTCGATAAGGATTTTGTACGTAAGCCATAAGCGGGCGGAAGAATCGGTTTGTTTCGAGAAATCGCGCCAAGTAAAATATCCACTGCTTGATGCAACCAAAAATAGGAGCCAACTGATTCCCAATTTTGTATTTCAATTATATATCGGAGTCGATTATTTAAACGATTTGAAATGCTTTGATCCAAAAGTTTCATGAATCGATTTCGAATTTGAGGATTCTCATATCGTGTTCCCAGCAGGAACGCTTGTTCCAATTTAACAGTTAAATCCGTTCGCACAAATCCTGGGTCGCTATATATATTAATAACAAGATTCAAATAATCCTCTAAAAGATTCTTATCGCCGATCGATTCGAAACTTAGCATCTTGTTCAATATTTTCGCTTTCTCTTTCATTGTAGGAATCAGATCCCTTTTATTATTCATAACCCAAAATTTGACCATCTCGAATATAGAACGCGCAAGGTCAGTGTCCTTTGTTTTATCCAATAATTGGCATAGGACTTGTATGAAAGCACTACGATGCTCAATAAGCTGAGCTATTCGCGAATTCATAATCTGAAGTGCCATAATAAGAATCTTTACTTGAATATCTGGATTGTTGTTGTATGTGTTGTTATTATTGTTGTTATTTGTAAAAGTGTTTTGAGGTAATATACTAAGATGATCCTTTGCAAGTTTAGTTAGTACATTAAGGACTCCGGGAAGAAAATTATCGATATTTTCTGGATTCTTGCTTTTTAATGCGTTTAATAACGTTAATACAGCATATAAATTGTCCATACTATTCAATCCTTCCTCAATTGTCGCATGTACGACTGATGTAAAGTTAGCGATATCAGTATCTTCACTGGATGAAAGTTCTGAACTCGGAAAAGAATTAAAGATGTGAACTAAAACTGGATTGAGACTTTGTTGAAGACGATTATGATTGCTACGAATGCTTTTTTCTAATAGTCTTTGTAAGTGACTGATATTTGCAAGACACCATTCTGCAGGTTTCCGATCTAAAATCACGTTCAAGACATCCAAGCCATTGCAGATGTTATCCAGCGTATTGTTGGTGATATCGGTATGCATTAAAGTCCTTTCAAAAAATAGAAGCTTGACATTCACTTCAGGCCAAAATTCAGGCTGTAAAAATTCTTTAATTAGTTGCAGTGCTCGATATGGCAATCCACCCGGTGATTTACTAATAGCTTCATTAGTTGTGCAAACAAAACGGACGAGATAACCGATCACATTTTCCCTTAGTATAAGATTTGGAGTATATGTTTCACTTGAAGAAATTTCCACCGGAGTTAAGCGTAATTCACCACTATGTTCAATTTGTTGTCTTTTCTTCGGGGGAGATTCAGCCTCTAAATCCATTCGTCTTTTTCCTGGACTACTAACAGATGCAGCAGGCGTAGAAGTTGCACTTGCTTCTTGTCGTTTACGCAATTCAGATATACGACGTTTCTCCCATCTTAATATCAACTCGGATAGATCAATTGTCAATAAACGTGTTTCATTAGTAGCATTTTGGATGAGTCCAAGTCTCGTTAAAGTATTTATTATTTGTGGTAGGAATTGTTGTCTGTTCTCATAGAATAAATCCGGATGTCGGACTAGCAGCTGGTAAACATTCACCAATTGAGATATGCTATAAGTGTCTTCGGAAAGCACCTTTTTAGTCCAAGTTGTCCAAGAAGGATAAGACTGAGGTTGTATTTTTTGAGTCTGTTCCACGGCTGGTTTTGCTCTGCTAGGTGGTAAATGAATATGTTGAGAACGCTGAGAAGATTGAGATGCTTGAATGGATAGTTGTTGATTGGTATGAGCTTGTTTTTCTGCTTCTTCCATCCTACGTGGAAGCACTGGCGTAAAAATATCCAATGCTTGTTTGACTAGTGTGCGAGCTTCAAGTTGGTGTGCTCTGAGTAGCGACATGTAAGCATTATGTATAAGTTTGACTGGAAATTCAAAAGCTGCTATAAATCTGGCACATAGAACATATGCGGCCTGCTTTGTAGTAACATCGTCAAGATTTAGAGATTTCCATCCAAAAAGAATCAGATCTCGTTTAACATGCTCAATAAGATGTGGTACATATTGAACTAAAAGCGTAGTCATCTGAAACAATTCAATACGCAAAGGATCATCAATGTCTTCCGGTCCTAATCCTTGTGTCTGCCAAATGTTTTTATGCATTTTATCAATCATAGGAATATCGATGATTTTATTGTATTCTTGAGGTCCCTGGGCAAAGGCATACATAAGCAATGGATTTATAATCATCCTTGCCGCTGCTGTTTTAATACGCGCGTTATTTTTGAGAGGATCATCGAATAATTTCACAAATTTTTCAATGACTGCTCTTTTTCGTTCGGCTGGATATCCCATGGCAACTTCTTCATAATAGAATTGTCGTAGCAGGTGATAATCAATCACACTTTTACGTGTAAATATTGCGACAAATTCAAACATCAAACTAACATCGTCAGGATTTGCCCTCATATATGCTAATCCTGTTTCAATAATATTCTGATATTCTTGCAATTCTGCCACATTTATACTCATTTCGTCGGTTCTATGATTCTGATTAGCGTTCCACACTTCGTGCCATGCTTCTCGAATTTCTTTGATAATATCTTCTTGCACCAACCATTCTGGATTGTAATTTGCAATTTTTCTTATAATTAGAATTCGCTTAAAGTGTGCTTGGGAGTTACCAAGATGAACGGTTTTTTCTAATAGTTTCTGTGGATTGTCCATGATTTCTTCTCGAAGTTTAGTTGACTCTTCAATTCCAAGCAAGTCCACAAAGAAATTTATGTATTTTTGATCTTCAATATGATTGTAGAAATAATCGACCGCTTCACCAGCATATCGATTAAGAAATTTTATAAGTGGTAATCGGAATGGGCTTTCTGAGGAGCGACGTAATTTTTCTTCCAAGTCGAGTACAGTCGTAATCAGATTGTCCATAAACACATTAGCTGCAGGTGGTAATAAATGAAATACGGCCAATATAGATACGATAATCTTGATTGCTTCTATTTCCATTAATGGTTTATTAGAGGCATCTTGCAATGTTTTCGGATCAGCCCATGGTGTAAGATGGTCAAGTAATTTTCTGCCGATTTCCACTTTAAAATAGTTTGTAAGAAGCTCAAGAAGTCTGGCTAGTCCCTCTAGACCAGCAACAGTTAATTTCTTGTGATCAGAAAGATTGACTAAAATAGGTCGAAGACCAGCTTGAAGAAGATCTTTTTGCAGTTTTTGTTGATGAAGAACTGATGCTAGTCCTTTATTGGAAACCTCTACAATTTCCGGTACTCGCGAATATAAAGATTTGAAAAATACACCAATTATACGGGCTCTTATAGGTCCTTGTCGTGGAGTAAGAAAGTCCGGGCATGCCATAGCTGCGGTTAAAAATTTTATGCAAACAACACGAAGGTTTGTAACAGATGCTGCATTCTTGTAGTTTGTTGGTCGAGCGGCTGCTACTTGCTCCTCGGAATCTGCTAATTGTAAGGATTCATTCAAAAGTCGATTCAGTTCTTCGCTATATTCTAATAAGGATGGTCGCAACGTCAGTGCATATGTTATTGCATCAATATATCCGATTTGCATTGGGGGAGGAAGTGCTTTGAGCGGTTTCCCGAAAATTGGATTCAATAGAGCATCACGCACTGGCGTTAAAATGTCCGTTATTTCGCATGCTGTTAATTCCGCCAATAATTTAAATGCTGATTGTGCACATTCCCTGACAGCATTATTTGAATTTGATAATTCAGCAACCAATAAAAGAACAAGTTTATTGAACTTGTTATCCTTTTCTCGTATTTCGCCTTTTGCATTAGGTCGACTGCACACTTCTATTACGCGCAGTACTGTCTGAGTGGCATCTGCGATATTTCCTGTGGCGAATTCCGATGAAGTATCCTTCATTATGAAAAATAATGATCGGACGAATTCTAATTCATGATCTAACATCCATTTGGCACCCATGTCAAGTTGTGAGCATAATAACGATATTCCAAAGCAACCACCACTTTTACGATACCACTCTTGCTTATAGCAACAAGAACAAAACCGAGATGCAAGAACATGAAATAGAGGGAACAAGCCTAACGCGTCTTTTGATCCAGTGATCATTAAACAAATATCGTAAATTAATTTCAATGAAAATTCCGCAACTTTACGTATTTCTGGTTCATCACTTGCCATTATTGTTACCAATGCTTCTACCATAACTTTTGTCTCCAAATAAAAAGTGCTACTGTTTTCGTCAAAAGTGAACTTTTTCTCTCGTATATTACGATTTACAGCATCTCCAACTTCAAGTAGCGCAATATGACGACAAACATTCTCTAGACAAGGCCAAGCTTCATCTTTTAAATCAGGGAGAGATGCTGCGGTGAAGAGAGCACAAAGGAATAGTTGGATTCTTTCTTCTTGTACTGCCTTACGTCGTAATGAAAGTTTATGCCCTTCTTGTCTTTTCTTACTTGGCGGAAGGTCTACCGCTATTGTCGTCTGCACAGGAATTGGCTCATTTTGATTGTCAATTTCCATTTTTACTATTGTCGCCGATTCATTATCATCATTGTGAAGTAATCGCCTTTGAACTCGAGTTGCAATTAATTTTGTCAAATCATAAGATCCTGGGTCCAAATCAAACAACAGAGGAATGCTTGACACTAAGAATTTGAAAGCTTGCTTTTTATAATGCAAAGTAACATTTGGGTCTTCCAAAGTCTTCGCTGTGAGTGTAAGGCATTCATCCAAAGGTAGCTTTTGTGGCGCAGAATTCGAATCAAAAAATATTTGTAAATCAAGTCCATTTCCGGGTGGCGTTGTAAATGAAAGTTTTGGTGGATCTTTTAGTAGGCGACGATTACGACCACCCAATTTACCCAATATTCTTGTGGCTGATATGCTGTGACTCGGATTATATGGTGATGGTTTAAGATGTTTCCATAGTGCAAGCATTAAATCGTTAATAACGGGAGCCATGAGTGGATCCAGAAATTCAGGCGTAAGATTATCAATACACAGTTCCAGAGTTCGAAGACCTTGGGTAACCAGTTCCGGACCTGCTTGTAAAGCGAGAACTAGCGGCTTCATTAGATAACTGAGATATGGTAAAAGAACGCTCAATCTCACGGGCACTGTAAGACAAAGTTCGACAAATAAGTCCCTCATTTGTGGCTTGTGAGTCAAAGACAAGAGAGAATTGAGTCCTTCTAATAAAACTTGCAGCAAAGGTAAAACTTCTTTATATAGCATCTCGAATCGCCCTCCCGCAATACTCCTGAAAAGTGCTCGTAATAAGAGAAAATAATTCTTCGGTTCTTTAGCTTTTGTTGACAACTTCATCGATGACATAATTATTTTTGCAAGATGAGGATGAAGAACCATTTCATTGACATTAGGAAACAAGGTAACAGCCATAAATGCCAGTTTAAATAATCGAAGCAGAACAGACGCGTAAACAGGATCAGGTCCACCCAATCTATCCAGTCGATCCACCAAGAAACGGAAAAGAATGCCGGCAAAGTTCTCTGAAGTGCCCTCAGTCCCTAGAAGTAGTTGTGGTATTTGAAGAAGTGAAGTGTTTCTTAACGTCTGCTCGAAAAAGTAATTCATTTGAGATCCAAAGATCTCTTGAAAAATTGCAGGATCAATATTAACAAAAATATTAGCAAATCCGTCCAAAACTTCTTTTTCTGCTTTTGATTGAGGACCCAGTTTGTTATTCGATGCATCGGAAATTGCATTTTTTTCGGGAGCTTTGATAGTACTATTGCCATCATTGTCGATTGTATAGAGATCAAAAGCACGTATACCCTGACGAAATAAAACTAAAAAGTTCACAACTTCGTCATGCGAAAATCCACGAACCACTGAACTCCAAGTTTGTGGGTTTTCATTTTGGGGTGGTTCCGGATTACAGCTTTTCAAACCAGAAATAATACTTCGTAGTCCATGAACGAGATTTTTCAACAAAGATCGTCGCTCTAGATGCGAAATTAAAGAACTAATATTAGAGTAATATATAAACATCGTGTGCTCTCAAACTTTGTAATATATGTACCATTGAGAGGATCAGGTATCTGATCCGCGTTAGGTACAGAAGTGGCGATAGGACGAGATTGCTCAAAATCAGATTCTTCCCATTTTTGACCTGGAGGGATATTCGGATTCTTTCTCTTCTGAAGTTGACGTATTAGATCCGGAAATATGTAATTAAGAGCATAGAATTTTCGACAAAATGTATCGAAAATCTTCATGAGCAAATCTCGCTCTATATTATGAATTGGATTGCTTCATTAGTACGTAAAAAAAATGAAAGATAAATAAATAACTATTAATTTCATACTTTGTGTTACATCACTTATATTGATACTGCATTCAATCATGTGCAAAAGTAATTTTGAACACATAGTCTGGACGGTAGGATTAAGTGTCGGATCATGGAGGTTAAGTGAATATATATAGATAGTTTGGTGTAGTTGCTCTACTGTGAGTTCATTTCTCACGTGATGCACGAGATCAGCCAACATACTATATGCCAAAGGCCTATTAAGATACAAGTATATTAATTATTATTAGCATCAGCAAATCTAATAAAAATTCAAGATTACTAAATAACAACATACCTAATAGTCTCATAGGATGTTATACCTGTGCCCACCAAAACCTTTTCCTTAAGAAGAAGATCAATTTTACTAACAAAAGCACTTCGAAATTCAGTGGATAAAATATGACGCGTTGCAACCAGCAACTCCTGTTTTAGATTGTCATTTCAAATGCTTAGCACGTAATCAGCAAAGATATTATTAAATTTTTGTTCAGTATGTATACCTTTCGAGTAGCAGACGCTTCTGGTGGACAATCTTGTAGTAGTCGAATTACGAAATCAGGAATCTTGTCTTGATATGTTTTCAGCGCCGTTGTATATGCTCGTAGCACATATGCCAAAAATGACATCGTCTATACACGTTATTATGATAAAATTATTTTAAAAATATAAACTGATCTATTTCATTTCATTTAATTTGAGAAAAATACGCACCTTTACTTGAGCAACTATAAATTCCGTGTATTTTGCACGATCTCGAATCCCAGATGCCACCCCAACAAATATATCGTTAGCAGCTCTGGCAGCCGCGTGAGCTTCAGCCTGCGGAGTGGCTTGTAAGCCTAATGTCTATATTTCATGATATATGTAACATAATTTTCAGAATTCATATTTTCTCGATGAACGTTAAGTTTAAAACTGCACACTCTAAATCACTTATTTAACGTAACGACACGCAGGTAAAAAACGAGTTCCCACCTGAATAATTAGCGGGACGATGTTTTTGATGTTTGTGTTCACGAATTGTCGATGGGATTGAAACAGCAACACAACAATTATAGGACATTCAGTGAGAACTTTAAAGCTGTATAAGCTTTTAGCTAATGTTTTAACTGGTGTACTTTCTGACGTGTTATCATAAGCGGGAGAAGTTGGACGTGGTGATTGCGGTACATGTTGAGGAACATTATAAGGCTATAGATCACCAAAGAAATTGTATTATTGAAAAGGATCAATATTATGCATTTCAAGTATTATTGTCACTTACTGTTGGGGTGTCGAAAGTTTCGCGCACAGTTTGTTCCATATTTCGATACATTTCTTGAACAATATTCAAAAAAGGTTGAACTTGATCTTCGAGAATCGCCTTGTAATGTTTATGCAAATCTATTATGATTTTAAGACATATCACTGCATTTTCCTCGTTTTCGGTCCTTAACAGTTGCATAACCAATTTCAGCAAGTCAAGTGCATATTGTTTTAGTGCTTCGTTTAGAGGCAGGCGGTGCAATATCTCTAGAATCACATTACGCAATTTCTAAAAAAAATTGAAAATGATCATTATATGATAATTAGCCCGACCCTCAGACATTTTACTCAAACTGGTCAATTTCACACAATACTAACTTGAGTCCAGTCATTATTAACAAATACTGGCGGTGTTTCATTTAATATTTTCCGGAATACCGGCATCATTACTTGTAAAAATCTCGGATATTCAGCATTCTGAAAGACTTCTACCGAGTCTCGCAAGTCCACAGCTATACTCAGTTTTAACCGGGCCTCTGTATAATTCAGAAATAACACGCATAATCAGCGTGAATGGTTAGAAAACAACATGTTTTGCATACATGGTAACTAAATTTCGAATAGACTTTAAAATGGTGAACTGTATTGTACCCAATTTCGCATCAGAAAGTCTTGACGCATAAATGTCACAATCAAGCAGTGTCGCTGACATTTTATTCGGCAACTATGTTATAGACTATATAAAATGAGAAAGGATAATGAAGGTATTACATAAATGTATATGTAATTGTATAGAGAACTATAAACAGTTGTTGACTCTCTTACTACAATAAAATATGAAAGATCAGCGAAAATAAAGCTTCAGCAGTAATAAAAGGCAAAAATTCAATTTCTGAGCGAAATCAACCAAGTAGAAGCTTAATAGTTGTTTAGAGAAGTATAAAGTTTCGTGAAATAAATAAGTGAAATTTTGGGGAAAGTAGTCGGAAATTCGTTGTGACGTCACCAGATTTTGAAGAGATTGAGTCACCTCACATATACAAGAATGTTTTGCGTGTTTTCATCTAGATTTCAAACACTTAGACAGCGTGAAAAAACTATGTAAAATCTTTATAAAGATTTTGAATGCTTTACATTGTTAGACAGTTTATTTATCCTTTTGCACGATCTATTCTTTCTACATTATCATCTTTAATATAGTGAATAGGAATTATCATATATACTTACCGTTAAGCAATACCATACTTGGGAAGTTTCTGTAATTAATGTCGGATCGCTATGGTTGCGAGGAGGATGACAATAAGGTTACTTTTGTTGTTGCTGTAGAGGTTGTGATGATGACGATGATGACTGCGGCATCGAGACAACAGTTTGCTGCTGCTGCGGAGTCGACAATGTCGAAGAGTATTTAGTTGGCATTGGAATTGACATCATCAGATAGTATTTAATCGGAGGAGAGAATAATGACGGATCAATATCGTCATCATTAATCGTTAATGGTTGTGGTGTGACAACGACGGCGTTTTTTGTTTCTACTGCTGTGGTGGTGACGGCGACGACGCCAGAGAGTATTCCCGTATCTGCTGCTGCTGTGATGACGGCAACGAGTTTACTTTTTGTTGTAGCTGTGGTGGTGGTGGTGATGGTGATGGTGATGATGATGATGACGACACGAATGATAAGGTATTTTGTCGAGTTTAAATTTGATTTTTTATTTGCTGGACAAAGTTTCTTTGAATTGTTGAGCTGCCTGCTAATTTTAATTCTTGCTGATAGCCTTAAACTATTTACTTTTCTTGAACGATTCTACTTTCATTATATTGTTGACCAGAATATCTCCCATCATATAGGGACGCAAAATACCAAATAAAGATCAATATTTAACTTTTGGTACTCAGATGCTTGAGATGGAATTATTGGAATAGATGTTATAGATTGTATAGTACACATTATATTTATTTCTATGGCAAGTTGATTATTTAAGGAAGAAAGTTGCTTCTGGAATTGTAGATAAGTCTTGAACAATTACTTTGGGTCATTTGCTGGATGTTAGCCGAGAAAATAGAATACTACAACTTCAGTAGGTACGGAAGTCCTTATACTATTAAGGAAACACTAAAAAGGCCAGAATGCTAAAAAAGATTTACAGAATTCTAGATTCGATTGAATAATTCATTAGGTAAAGCAATTAACTATTATTGTTAGCAAATATGATATATGTGTAAATCATGATTTATAAAATTATAAATAAATTATACAGTATTGGATGATTTTGATAACTCGTTTCAGCTTTTTTTATCTAGCGTTCAACAATAATGTGTTATGAATAATCTCAGCTTGACCTTGGCCCGGTAAATAGAAACCTAAGAGAAACCAAAAGAAAATAAGAATAAAAAAGATATTCATAAAGATGATGGTTTCTATCAAAAACCTACCATTTATTTCGACAATCTACCGCTTCTTTCCGAACCAATCGTTTCCTATCATCCAACACTTTGACTAATTCCCGAACTACCTGATTCTTGTACGGGTAAAGTACATCGAATCGGACAGTGTCGGGTAGAACTCCAAGACATCGTAAAGCTGATATTCGAACATGCTATTTATTGAAAATAAAAAATATAGTCGTTTAATATTGCGCAACCCGTTTATAATCATTCGATAGGAATATTACCATAGTATTGGCTTCATTCATCTGAGATAAGGAAAGAAGCAAGGGCACTAAAGTTGTCACGTGTTCAGATATTATATGCGATGCATCATTCGCTATCATGTAAAATGTATCGATTGTTGATGTTTTGAGTTGCGGATCTGGCAGAGAAAGCGAATGTATTAAGAGAGGAAAAAGCTAAATGAAGATAAAGTAAACCTTAGATATGATTATGTAAAGGGAAGAATTAAAAAATAGAATATATATCTTACAGGTGGTAATTCATTTAACCAAAGTTGCTTTGGAACATTCCGCAGTAAATGTGACAGTCCAATCAAGTAATTATGCTTCAAATCTATTTTTTGTTTTCAAAGAATTCTTAGCAATAAATAAGCATACATATTGAAATTACGTTTGCTTACCATCATTTGAAAATTTGAATCCGTTAACAAGTAGTGGAGTACAATAATTGAAGAAACGTTGCTTATAAAGAAGCTATTCACAGAATTAAAAGTAATTAATTATATTTTAAATATTAAAAAAATGCAGCAAGTATTTATTAATTAATTACCTTAATTAATGCAAAACTTTTCCTACTCAAAAAATCATCTTCTCCTACGAGTATATCAAACCCTTCTGACGCTTGTCGCCCAAGTGAATTGTCATTAAATAGGTTTAATATTATTCCGGTACATTCATAACCAACTTCCTCTACCCGCAACAATAGAGCTTTTGTAAACTAGCGAAAATCATTACTTTGCATTATAACACTATTATTGCGGATTATGTAATAATAATGGAACACTGAGACAGAATATGCATACCCATAGAAAATGTGACAATGCGACGCGTCTTAATTCTTGATCTACTTGCCCATTAACAATGAGATGGTTTTTCAATTCGACGAGTATTTTTGATTGGACAAATTCCTTTAATTCGTCGTCTATATTTCCGAGAATATAGAACCATATTAGATTCACGATAAATTACTAGAGAATAAATAGATGTGATAATATCAGTTTTTAACCTTGTTTCCATTTATTTAAGATGGAAGCGGCAAGCTTAAGTAACGCATTACGTTGAATTCCATTAGAAGTTGATAATGAAATCGCACCAATATCCGACAAAAATTTTGAAATATTCTCAACAGGAATTGGAACCTAATGAAAAATACGAGAAAAATAATAATTAACACAAATTTTATATATAATAGATCGCAATTGAATGCATACTTCTGGTCGGATAGATCCAACTGCAGCTGCAAATAATATCAACAAATTCTGCTGAAAGGAATTTGATGCTGTCTGTATTTTCAAATCAATATCAAAATTTTTAGAAATATATTTTTGTTAAATTTTTTAATAAAAAAATATGCTTTACCGAAAGGGGTTTGAAGCTACCAATATAAGTTTGTTTTTCCTCTTCTGAAAATGCCAGAAATGAAATATCACCCTCTATAAAAAGTTTACACATTTTTGAAGTAAAATTGGATTGTTCCCTATGAATAAATGCAAATATTATTTTATTATTTTGAGAAGTCACTTAACATAAAAAATTAAATAATAAAGTCACATACTCAATGTCTAAATTTCTTGTTATTATTGATATTATCGCTGCAACTCTCTCCAAAATCTTCAGGTCTAAAAATACATTGTCCATTGATTGATCATCGTTGTTTAGAGTAGGACCGACCGAGAATGCAAATAAGCGTGATAATAATATATCCACATATCGCGCAAGATCCGAATGCTTGAGATCAGCTTTTTTAAGCAAAATATTATAAAGAGCAGAAAGCAAGGCTTGCAGATACTCGGAAACAACACCAGTTTCTATAAAGAAATAAAGAATAATAATAATAATTATTATTATGAGCAAAGATGATTGAATTTTAATTTAATTTAATAAATAAATTACCCGAACGTATATTATTCAATTTCTTTATGACCGCATCAACAAACACTTGAAACAGCAATGGCTCAATCGCGAATTTAGCAAGAGCATCTAATGCTGTATTGTAGGTGGCAAACTTTTTATTAGACGCCATCGTCATAGTGTTCTTTTGCAGACTGTCAGCATCATCTGGAAGATGAGCGATGAAGGTAGGAAGGGAGATTTCCAGTACGACATTGGGCTTATAATGCGCAATATTTGCCAAAGCATTCAATGCTTCGGATCTGAAGTAGCAACGACTTCTAAGTTTTCCCCAAAAAAAACCCTCGCGAAAATACGAAAAATAAAAGAAAAATCGAATAATGTCCAACCTACATTATCTCTTGGTCATATTCTGTCAAAATCACTCGATTGAAATATTGCAAAACAATTCCTGTTTCGTTGTCAGATAGGAATTGTCTTATTAGAATCATTGAATATAATCCTATTAGACTGATTAATCGTAATTCGCTATATTCATTAGTCGTGATTAGTGATCCGCTGAAGATCTCAAAGAGTTCATCTTTGAAGGCCAGAAGAGGAGTAACAAAGTCTTGATCAACTTGGAAAAAATTAAGTAAATTTTATTGAAGTTTCAATATAGGGATGTCAGATATTCGTGAAGAATATTAATATAAAGTACCTTGATCTCCCATTATAACATCATCAATCGAGCCATATAATGTTCGACTTGCCTCAAGAAACTGCATAAAAACCTCCAATATTGCTTTCTTTTGGGTGATTAGTTCACTTTTTCTATACTGCTCTAATAAAATGCGCATGCTAAAACTCATAAGAGCATTACACGCAGGATCTAATAAAGAACCCAGGATTATTGTTATCTCATGTAATTAAAACTACAATACTATCACTGCTTAATGTCAAAAATAACTTTTTTACCTGAAGCCATGGCGCAATATTTCAAAATACGACCACCATGTTTAGCCAATTTTAATTCCGGCTCTTTTAAATTCTCCAAGCATTCTTTGATTATAGGTTGTAAGAATCGTTCGAGTGGGTCGGATTGTGCCACTATTTGAGATGATAGTGCTGATACAATGCTACGAAGAGCATCGAGTGCATATGATTCTAAGGAATCGTCCGTCGAATGAAAGATCTAGAAAATACTAGTTATGATTGAGCTGGTTGGCTAGCTATGATCTATGTTTGATCTAAACACTCACTTCAATCTTTAGACCATCCCAAAGATCTTCCAAGTATGGGGTTAGGGCATTAGCTCCATATACTGGTGCACATGCTGCTAATGTCTCCATGGAATCTTTCTAGATTGAGATAAATTAAATTGCAATCTTGGCGATAAAATGCAACCACAATATAAAATCAAACCAACCTTCGCATTACCGGAACTAGATGCGAGTTTCTCTAATAATAGTGGCATTGCTTGATTTGCAAAATGTGGTGTGGCAGAAAAACATTCCCTGTTAATTAATAAATGCATTTTTAAATGAGTATTATAAACTAAAGAGAAAATAGTTCTTGTATATATATAAACCTTAATCCAACTTTAAGATCATCAGCTGTGATACCATAAACATCATCAGGAGGTGGTTTGAAAGTTATTGGAAAGTAACAAAAAGTAACCTCAAAAAAATCCTAATGAAACAGAATATATTTTAAAGCCAATGTTTTTACAATATTCAATGATGAATATAAAGAAAATAATAAATACTTCAACGTGTTCACTTATATCGAAATTCGTAATTATATATTTGACCAGTGAGAAAACCAGTAGAAGATTACGGGGATCTTTTTCTCCATCCATTACTTGAACAAATCCAAACACGAAATTTGATCCCATCTGTTTTAAAGCTATTTTTTTTGTATAATCACTTTAAATAAAAGAAATCAAATCACGGGACGGAATAACTTATATAGATATAAATAAATACCGTTCAACTGCCGTTTCAATAATCCATCAAAAATTTGGAATACAATATAACGATCTGTTTGCTGCAAGCTTTGAACCTTTACTGACTCAAAAATCCTAATAACCAAAAGATATAATTTAGCACTTTTCACATATATACAATTAATTAGATAAATTAGTAAAAACGATGATTATATTTACGCTTTGGATATTTTGATTGCATTCTCACTTGAAAAAGTTTGAAACTGTTGTAGTGAAACAAGACCTTTCAAAAGCTGCGGTACACTCGGCGCGTCAGCTAATCGATCACAATAGAAATCGACTAATTCGTTGGCGTTTGCTAAATATTATTTATTATTTTGTTAGGTCAGCTAATTTGATACAACACATGCATGCTTGTTATATTTGAGAAAGCATCGTGTACAAAGAATCAACAGTACCTCTAATGGCACCATATTTAACTATTAAATGAAAATTGAACTAGACCGTACCAGCTGCAGGATTCACTTGTTCCCTAGAGCACTCCAATAGAACTAATGACAAGAGCGCGGTTCCTGTCAAGATTAAAGAAAAATATATGTA